ATATTATAATAATAATAATTTTGGCTTATATAGCGCATTATGCTGAAGCCTCAATGCGCTTAACAGTAAAAATAAAATTATATATATAAATATATATATATATATATATATATAAAATACATGAAGATGTGTCCACATGTGTTTCAAAACATAGAATATAGAATATAGTACTGCGTAACGGTAAGAAGCACTAAAAGGTATTGAAACGAATATTTTGGCTACTCCTGTAGTGTTTGTCAATGCTTGACATAAAATAAACATACTGTATACTGAGAAATGTTCTTAGTAATATACAATTTGAGAAACAATATAAGTCCAAAGCAAGTCGGCATACTGTAGTATGAAGGATCGGCATACCATATTATGAATGAAGGAATGATATAATGTACAGATACACGCTGATAAAGTGGTATACTGTAAATGGAGAACAATCAATGATCAAGTGGTGAATGTGGGAAAGCATAGTGGATTAGCTGATAATAAACATAGGGCTATGATTTAAAACCAATTTCTGTTGGGGAGAACTGCATCTTCATTCGTCGGGAAGAAAACCCACAGTTCGTCCAAAAACATAGGTTATGTTTTTTTTACATATTTGTAGGCTCTAAAATCGATTAAATAACCTTGAAACCCCTAAATTCACGCCCTGGACCACTTTCGGAAGATTATGTGCACGCCCGACCATGCCCACTTTTTTCTCCTCGGGGACATCGATCCCCCGTTAGGGAAAATTGGAACCCCACCATCGAGCAATCCTATACCATTTATAACTTTCAAAAGTGCGCTCTATAAATCCATGTTTATTTATTTTTATTTTACATCATCTAAATCCGCCCCTGAGGGTCCCCCTCTTACTAATAACCAGCACTTTACTACATTGATCACAGATTTTGGAAGGGTTCAAAGGATATGAACAGAAACTTTTTGTTAACATTTTGTGTTTTTTTAACGCCGGAGAATTTCATACAGTTTATACATACGACATCTGTTTGGAAAAATGTAAACTCTTCCTTTCTCTCTCTTGTTTGTACCTTGTTGTCGTGTTCAGGGTCTGTTATGAGGTTTCTTGATTTTTATCCATACTGGGTGCTGTGCTGAGTCATTTTTGGAAAAAGCATGCAATGTTGCTTTGATGAATTTATTGACAGTCCCCCTATCATGTCAAATTACCACAACAAGCAACAGAATGAGTTGCAGACAAACCACAATTAATTTTTTTTTTTCATTTTAAATTTCTCTTATTATTTTCTTTTCTTAAAGGCCAATTTTTTTTGTTTTTTTTTTGTTTATAACTTGAACATGAAGTACTATCAATAGTGGTTCCCAACCTAAGTGTGCTACACTTTTAGACCAATTGTTATGATTTCATTTTTTCTCGTCTTACAACAGTGTGATAAACATCTTATTGATAATCATTAGGTGGCTTATCAATAATTAAATACTTTTTACATAGGCAAAATCAGGAATTATGGGTAAGCATTTTTTGATAATTATTCTGTTACTTCGAAATGAGCAAGTGAATTTTAGTTATGATTTTTTTTTTTTTTTTTTTTTTTTTTTTATTCATGGGCCAACCGCATCTTTTTGTATTTTTTATTCATGGGCCAACCGCATCTTTAAGCCTGGTGTTTCCATGTCGACTACCGTTCGCGAATTTTATGGCGTTTTGTGTTTTGGGAAAAAGAATTGAAAAGAGCTGAATCAGGGATTGATTAGGCCTACGGGAAAAATTGACAATGCTAGGCCTAAATATAACTTTACTACTACTTGTCAGGATTGGATAATAGGGGCCGCTCTGTTTCAAAGGCGTGTATATGAATTAAAATTAATTTATTCATCCTCAAAAACCCAAGTAAAATAATTTAAAAAAATAGTAAAATTATGAAAACGAAACACCTTAGAAACCAGCTTTTTTTTTTTTAATGCTGTTCCTAAAATATTAAAAACAGTCTAACATATCCATTTCATAAATAAAAAACAATTAAACTAGGCCTATATTAAACTTCATTCTTTATGAGATGGGCCCAATAAAGACGAAGAAAATCTAAATAAAAAAATCTTTACATGAACCAATTTTCAAGTGGACGAGTCTCATATTTGATTTTAAAATTCCTTTTAAATAACACCTAAATTGCTTGCTTTTCAACCGCAAACAGTCTCATGTTATTATTTATTATCCTTTTATTTAATATCTTCGAAGAAGACAAAGAGACGGTAGTCACCGTTTACGCTTAATAGTGGTATCCCATATTTGGCAATGAATTATCCATATTAGTAATTTTAATCTGTCGTAGCCAATCAATAACCCACGCGCATAAATTCAAACGGCCATTCAAATTAGGTATGCTAATAATATGAAACCCTTACAAATTACTCCGCTAGAAATTTACTAAAATCTTTGATTGTACCTTCCGAGGAATTATGAAAATTCCACATAGTAGTCAAAAGATAACATCATGGAATTTAATATCTGAGAGCTGTAACTCTTACATTTAAAATTATAATGTTGAAAACGGTGTCCAAATAATGGTCTACTTTGTTTATATGTATGTCTACAATTTTCAAATTGCTCTCCGTCAGTTACAAATTACTCGCGCGGAAGTGGTCCTGTATGTTTCTCAAGTAAGTCTACATTATAATTTCGTTTTTCATTAATTTAAGTGTTTATAAAATACTTTAGAATATATATATTTGGTTTATTAGTTTATACTCTATTGCTATAAAACAGATATTTTAAAGCATTTATTGTATTTATGTTGTAATTTGATTCGTAAATTCCACTAATTGTACTGACGCTACAATGTCGGGTGATCGTATTTGAATGAAGGCCACGCAACGAACATTATTTGCTGTCACGCTAAACAAAAAAATCGGCCTAGGCCAGCCTAGCTAACGGACTAGCCTACTCTAACGAGGGTGCTGTATAGCTTTAAAGTAAGACCTAGCCTATAAGTGTAATGTTATAGTCCTAGCCTAGGCATTATATTTTGGCCTAGGCTAGTACTGTACTCGCACCAAAGCCTTGGCCTACGTTGTGGTGTTAAATGTCGAGTAATTATTTTTAAACCCGTCAGCGTAAAAATAGCAACAATCAATAGCGACGGCGATGCCTGTGCCACTGTTGTGCTGTGCTGTGGGTTTGATAATGTACTGAATGGTAGGCTTATCTAGATCTTTCTAGGCTTATGCACAAAACATGAGTCTTCTGTCACGCCAACAACGAATTTTGCACTGCACTGTTTTAAATTGTAGGACCATTTTTTGGCATGTTATAAATGGAATTTGGTTTTGTATGTTTTCAGTCAATTTGATTTATTACATTATTAAAAGGATTTGAGAATAAAATAAAATGGATTCGTCGACATGCTATACTTAATTGATTGAATAATGAGTTAACAAGACTGGAGTTTAAAGGTTAGGGCCAAGCCAGCTCCAACAATTAACACATAAAACAACGTAAATCGTCAAAATTTAAATCCACAGTTTAACAATATAAATTCTTCACTTGATGAAATTCTGGTTACTGATATGATACCGTATGTTATTCTAAGACAAACACAAGACAGCAAGTTATCTCTTGATTTTTAATGTATTAGATGGTGACCCTCTGCATTTCTTCTATCTTGGTGACTTGCATTTCATTCATATAATTTTTCAATGAAAATTGTCACCATGAAAACCATTTGCAATTAAAACGCACTATCAGACAAAAAGGGAAAATCTATAACTTTTAAAACGTAATATTATTAGATACAGTAATGGCCAACTAGAAAAGCTGTTTGACAAAAAAACTGGGGAACAGTGAATGAGATACTGATTTTTGAATATTTTTAAAAACTGGGGGGAGGGGAAGTTTGCTGCCGAGCCTGCAGTGGAAGGCCCTTTCTACAGCAATTACTGTCGATGCTGTGAGGAAGTTCGAACCCTGTGGTTTACTAGGTGACATAGAAACGAAGGGACCCTGAGGGGTGATGAAAGTCACTGAACAACGAGTTACTAGTCATCCTCTTCCAAACATCAAGCGCCATGAGTATCTTGTTTGATGGATACTGGTGCTATACAAATGTACCCTATTATTATTATTCACTTTTTGCATTTCATTAGTTGCCAAAATTAACAAACTATTTCTTAACAGTTTTTTTTTTCTTCCTTGGCCTAATATTTGTGTATTTTCTTTTTCCTATATTGAAGCTTAGGGTAAGTAACAAAGATGCCACTTCATGGTAAAATTGTGGTGATCAAGAGGAATGGAGCTGATGGTGCCCATTTCCCATTAACTGCTGATCAGTGTTTATTTGGAAGGTATGTACATTATTTTACTTATTAATCAAAGCTCCAGGTTTAATTCTTTTCATTTCAACTGTGCTATTAGACGTAGCTTTTTCTAATGAATGCAAAGATTAAAATTTGAAAAAGTGGATGTGTGTGGTGATTGTAAAGAGACCTTTCCAGAGTGTCAATCAAATTTAACAACTGACCAATCAGAACAGAGACAGGAGTATGTGCGTTTATCACAACACACATGTTTTCCCACAAATGTACGTGTTTGTGTATGTTTTTTACACTGTTCGTAGGACCTTAGCAACAATATCCAAGGGGCAGGACTTAGCGGAAAGGTCCATTAAGTTTACAGGTAAATTGCATACACTCAATAAATGAAAGATTATAATTAAAAATTTCATATTCAGTGATTTTCGAATTACTGTAGTTAGTTTTTATCCTTGTTTTAAAATAGTTTTTTTTTTTAGGTTACTTAGTGTTAAAGTGAGCCCTCACTAAGCAATGCAATCAGATTTGTAAAATTGACCATCATGGTTACAATCTTGTCATTTCATTGCAATGCTTGTGTTCGTCACCCATAATTATCCACAGCCTGTTCATGTTATGAAATGACCAGGCATGTAACATTATCTATGGAATTAACAAACATGTTACAAACATTAAAATAGACTGGATCAAAAATTTAGCAGTAATAAGATTGAAAATGAATTTTGTTTCAAGTGTATTTTTGATTTGATGCCAAATCACATAAAAAAGAAAGCATGTTGTTGGAGTAAATATGCACATTCTGGATGGTGATTAAACTAATGCTTAATAGTCTGTTTACAAAAAATATTTTTCAGTGAATGTAAAAAAATATTGTAGGATTTGATATGCTTAACTTCAAATCACATAAAAAAGAAAGCATGTTGTTGGAGTAAATATGCACATTCTGGATGGTGATTAAACTAATGCTTAATAGTCTGTTTACAAAAAATATTTTTCAGTGAATGTAAAAAAATATTGTAGGATTTGATATGCTTAACTTTAAATAATGTTAGCCAGTTAAAAACTGGAATAAATTGTTATACAATAATCAGCAATTATTTATTTGAAACTTTTACTTGTATGCAGAAATAATGAAATTATACAATTGTAGGTGTTTCTTTGAGTTAAATATCAAGTTGCATATTATATAAACAAATCTGATGTTTATACTGTTTATCATTTCAGAACTAACGAATGTGACATACGGATTCAGTTAGCCAATGTATCTGTTGAGCATTGCAAGATCTCAGTGAAGAAAAATGCAGAGGTTAGTTGGATGTATATGTACAGTACCATCTTGAGTACTGTCAGGAATCTTGGGTTCATAGAAATACTGAAGTCTTAAAAGTATCCTGATAAATTGTTATCATGAGTCATCAACATCTTTACCGTCAAAACATGCCTTCCCTTAAAATGTCAGTGTACTGTGTCAACATTTGAATGTTAAAAATACAGTGGATTAAAATGTGTATGTATACAGTATTTGTTCAATAAATTTTATAAGGCAGTTATTTTACTAGAAGGAATTTATTCATCAGCCCTCAAAATTAACGTCGGCATTCGGCAGTGCCGGCGTCTAGGCACTCGTCGCCGGCGAGAAAATTGCCGACGTGCAGAAAAGTACTGCTACTTTTCACGAATAAATTACATTAATTAAAAAAAAACGGAACTTCTAAGTTAATCCCTTACACACATGTAGCTGTTCTGTCTGTATTCTCCGTTGATTTTAGTGAAAGTGAAAGACGATCCCCAACTCACACGTTCTGCAGTGTGTCCCCAACATCTCCTAGAAAGAACTGCAAGTCGAGCGTGTTGGTTGTCGCCAAAGTTTGTTATCCTTTTGACTGTGGTGGCTTTTATTTTAGGGATAAATATGCCCAGAGTATTTTAGTTTTAATTCGTTTTCACAAAAGTAACATGTAAACATATTTCAACATCCATGGTTAGTGCTTATTTTTTATCACTGCGGCTAGCCTAGGTCTACCTAGAACTCCACAGCACTCTGGGGATCCGATGGTCCAAGTAGGCCTAGGCACGCGTAGGCTAGTACTTAGTACTAGCCAAGGTTTAGGCCTAGTACTTGACAACTTTTTGAAAATGGGACCGGCGTCAATTTTTTAACGTCAGCAATTTTTTGTCGGCGTGCTTTATCCCTAATTTTGAGGGCCGAGTCATATATTTTTTCATTTGAAGTGAATATGAATTGATACTCAAACAAACACTCCCTTGAATAATACAAAATGAAAGCTGCAACACATACTTAATTCTCAGGCATGTCTGGGAAAAAATTCCATACCCAAATCTAGATTACAATGTTCAGTATAGTACACTACAGTAATAAATGTTTTCAATTTACCTAGAAATATTTGAAACTTTGCTAACCAGTAAGTTTTCAATTTGAGAGAAATATATAAGAATTTGAGAAAGCTAAATAATCAATTTCCTATTGCCTTATAAATAATAGTATTGCTTTTAATGTTCTGGTTGAAGTTCATAATGTCAAATTGTGTGGTTTATCATTTGCCAACAGTTTCTGTTTACACACACCATATGTAATGAACTGAGTCAATACTATCGAAAATATTTTCTCATTCTAATCTTTTGATAGAAGTAACTGTGAAATTTTCAAAGTAAGCAATATAAATATTTAAAATTTTATTATCTCAAATTGCGCAGACAAAAATGAATGCTGGCTCATGACTTGTTTCTATACCTTCAGATCATACTGACCAACTTGAGTGCAACTAATCCAACATTGTTAAATGGAAAGCCTATTACGAAAAATGAGAAGATTCATCACATGGATGTATTCACTATCAGTGACAGATCATTCAGGTTGGTTTAATACTTTTGCTATAAACCATTTAATTGAGTTTGATATCTTTTAAACTACATAAGCATTTACCATAGTTCCCTGGGTATAATCCCCCCCCCCATGAATGCGAATTGGGCCGATTTTGTGGGGTGTGCATGAACAAAACAAAAATGACAATGCATTTGAACAACTGCCCAAAGATTCAATGGCAAAAACTAAAAACAAAAACTATATTCCGGTAAAGAAATCAAAGTTTATTCAAACATTAAAGGGCAGGGAACACCATAATAGAAGGATTCGGCAATGTTTGTTTACTGCCGGTCACATGACTTAACTTGGGTATACATGAAAAAAGCATAATCGTGCGATAGTATAGGAAAAGATAATGTTATGGTTACGAAAACAACCACCCACTGTTAGGAGAGAAATAAATGGCTAGGAAAGGCAATATGATTGTTCAAAATAGTGTTTATTTACTTATCATAGCGTTCTCCAAGGATTGTGTGCTTTGAAATTTAAGTGATCCTTTATAAAACTTAGCTAGCCCTAACATTGCAGCGTAGTTCGTGTGTCGAAGACTATCATAAATAACTAACCATGCTGTAGAGGTGCAGGGGCCTAGGCATAACATTTGTCAAAAAAATGTTTGCGGCCAGTATCCTTTACAGCTTTAGCAAACCATTAAGGCAAAATTCTGAAGTTTAATTTCCAATCAATTTGGTATAGTTTACTAGGAATTATGATGATCTATACAGCAATAAACAAGGGATGGCCGCAATAGCAATCTCCATGTAAAACACTGCTGTGTCAGTCAATTGTTTTTATCCAACACCCAAGTTAGGTCATGTGACGCCCATCGCCGAATCTCCCTATTATAGTTAGTAGGCCTAGGCGCCAAGCTAGAGAGGCCATATTTTGGTCTTACTTCGAGCTAGGCCAGCCTATGCCTAAAATTTTTTGGATGTCGTAGATTATTTTTACCAACCAATCCAACCAATCCAACCAATCATCCATCGCATGTGGTGAAGACCACCCACTTGTAAATGCATGATGTAACAAGTAATTTTTAGCAGCGAGAGTCCCTGTGGAACATGTGCAGTCTTAACATTGTGAACAATCCGATCAGCCCACTGGGCAGGTCTGTTCAGGGATGGACCGCAGTGTTGTCTATTTTTAGCCAAAGCTGTGGGACACGCGAATCTTCACGCTGTGAATTAAGGATCCGATCAGCCCTCTAGGCGGGTCTCTGTAGGGATGGACCACGGTGTTGTCTATTTTTAGCCGCAGTTAGCGATCTGTTTATTTTAGTGACAACAGTAAACAACAAGAATTTACAGGAATGGGCTTTGTATTCAACTTTACGGCGACCAATGCCTGGTCCAATTAATTGGAAGAGTTTTAAGCCTGCCGAATTCGGAGCTAAATCCTTGATACTTTGTGAGTATTTGTTAAATTTACCAACCTAGGCCTACTCACCTAAATTATACCCATGGATTTTGCCCGGGGAAATGCCTGTACGCGAAGTTGGGCGTAAAGTTGGGGGTGGGATTATACCTGAAGTGGGACTATACCCGAGGAACTATGGTACATCTAAAATGGTACTGACTCTAAAACAAAGAATAATTATAAATAAGTGTTATAAAATATTATAATTAATTTAAACTTTTGAACTTTTTAATATACTATTGCCCTCAAACAGGACTTTTGTTGTTGTGTATTCCTAATTGAAAGATGTTTATTAAGTATATATTTTATAAATTTTGTATTTCAGGTTTGAGTATCCCCCAGGATCATCAATGCGCGCATCGCCAAAACCTAGTGGGAAACGGTTAAGCCTGATTCAGAGTCCAGTTGTCTCATCAACAACCGACAACCGTAATTCAAGGCGACAGTCCATGCAGACACCAAAGTCAGGTAAAAAGGTTGCTCCAAACAATGGTACCTCCCAGACACCCAATAAGACACCTGTGAAGGCATCCCTTCCAAAGCCACTCACACCAACAAAGACACCTGCAAAGAAAACACCTCTAAAGAAAACTCCTTCAAAAGCCAAAGGAATGCCTGAAGGATCTCCTGTTGATTCAGCCAAAGCAAATTCTGATAAAAGGACCCCAGCCAAATCCCCAGCTGTAAAAATAAAGTCACCTGTTGCAAAAACGCCTTCCAAGCGTGCAAAGTCCCCTGTTGCAGAGACAACTTCAAAACCTGTGAAGTCCCCTGTTGCAAAAACTTCTACGAAATCTGTGACGTCGCCTGTTGCAAAGACGCCTCCAAAACCTGCAAGTAAGCGAAATACGCCAAGAAAATCAGCTGTTGCAAAATCACCTGATTCAGAGGTGAAAAAAACACCTGTCAAGACACCTACCAAGAAAACACCATCTCCAAAGGCACAGAAAGGTAAAAAGAACATATTGTATTTCTCACTAATTAGGCATAAACAAGATAGTAAATGCTCAGCCGGGGGAAAACTCAAACAAAATTTGATATTAACACTCTGATCGCCAGTGGTTTGAAAAAATAGTATCAGCCACCGCCAGACACTTTTCCGAAGCTCGTTGAGAGTGTGTATGTGATCAGATTGGCATGTAGTGAACACTACAAGAACTACAAACATGTTAGCTTTACAATGGTACCAAACATTTTATTCTAATCACAATCGGTCCATAACAGTAAAATGAAAATGACTCACTTTTGGAGATTTACGCAATTTTGCACAATGAAGCTGAGATAATAGCGATTTTGTGAAAGTAAATCAATACCGCACAACGCTAATGTAAACAAAGAAATAGCGAACTACTTACGGTCCAGAGTGAATATAGTGTTCAAATTGTCAGTACATGTTGGTAATTACCCCATCTATCGGATTCTGTACAAAAATCTGAAACACGGAGATCTCCGTGTTTGGCGGTTGAGCGTTGCGTTAGCAAACACTGAGATCTCCGTGTTTGGCGGCCAGAGTGTTAAACAAACAGGGATAATAAGTGTTTTTTTCTTTGTTTAATTTCTAAGGAATGTCGTATTAAAAATTTATTCATGTAGCTTTCCTGTACTATGGCTTTTTTCCCCCTGTCAATTAGTCTATGGCTGCGCTACAGTAATGTGTGAAGAGTATGAATGCAAAATCCAGGGGTCTGTTTCAGTATTCACAACAAAAACTGATATAAAGTTCTTTATAAGTAATGATAATCTTTCATTAAATTGCAGCAGCTTCGCCTCAAATAAAGAAGTCTCCTAAAAGGCTGAGTGGATCACTCAAGAAGATATCTGCCAAGGTAACATGTTTTGCTTCAGCTATTTGAAGTATAGATAATTACATTCATCACTATGTTCATTAAAATTTAAACAGAATTTAATTATTTTTGAAAATATTAAATTAATTGATACGTAAATAAATTGTTTGCTCATTGGCCTTGAAAATACTAATATATTGTATTACATAATCATTGCATTTGAAGATGGCTTTTTTTAAGAATTTTAAATAATTTCATATTAAATTTCCTTAGATGATAATGTATGCACACCACATCATAATAATTTGAGTAAAAATGTCAAGGTTTAATGAATTTGTAATTTATCTGCATCATCAAATATGTTCTGTCTGTTCAATCCTAATATTTGAAATATAACACATGCCTTAATCATTCCATGATCTCTTCAGGGTGTACCTTTTGGAAGCCCACGCCAGCCATCGTCAACCCCACTAAAGACTGCCATAGATCAACTGAGGCGCCGCTCTGCACCTGTAGTTGAAGAATCTCCCCGGGAAACTAAGCAGAAATCCCCAGGTATGTTTGCTAACTAATGCTATTTAGAAAGTGGCTGTGTGCTATATTTTTCTCTAATTCTTGTACAATACTACTTAAGTCATAAGCTCCAATACTGTAACCATTTTAGTTGTATTTTCAGCTGTTAAAACTGTGGAAAAGAAGAAATCTACACCAAAACGCAAGTCTGTCGGTAACATTGAATCGTTATCAAAGCGAAAGAGAGTATCATTTGGTCCTCAGCTTAGTCCAGAACATTTTGACAAGAAACTCCCACCATCCACCCCACTCAGAAGAGGTGCAACACCAGGACGCAGAAAGACAGTCAGTGGAGCAGCAGTTGCCAGTCCAGGTTTTACACCAAAATACAAAAAACGAGCATCCCTAGCGGCTCAGTTGCATCCAGTGATTCCAGAGGAGTCGCCTAAGAAACATACACCAGTTAAACAGTCTCCAAAATTGTCCAAAGCTAAGACACCATCTCCAAAACGGGCAAGTCCGAAGGCCAAGACACCATCTCCAAAACGTGCCAGCCCAAAGGCCAAGACGCCGTCTCCAAAACAAACCAGTTCAAAGACCAAGACACCATCTCCAAAAAGAGCTAGTCTGAAGGCCAACACACCATCTCCAAAACGAGCAAGTCCAAAGGCCAAAACACCATCTTCAAAACAAGCAAGTCCTAAGGCCAAAACACCATCTCCAAGACAAGCAAGTCCTAAGGCCAAAACACCATCTCCAAAACAAGCAAGTCCTAAGGCCAAAACACCATCTCCAAAACAAGCAAGTCCTAAGGACAAAACACCATCTCCAAGACAAGCAAGTCCTAAGGCCAAAACACCATCTCCAAAACAAGCAAGTCCTAAGGCCAAAACACCATCTCCAAGACAAGCAAGTCCTAAGGCCAAAACACCATCTCCAAAACAAGCAAGTCCTAAGGCCAAAACACCATCTCCAAGACAAGCAAGTCCTAAGGCCAAAACACCATCTCCAAAACAAGCAAGTCCTAAGGCCAAAACACCATCTCCAAGACAAGCAAGTCCTAAGGCCAAAACACCATCTCCAAAACAAGCAAGTCCTAAGGCCAAAACACCATCTCCAAGACAAGCAAGTCCTAAGGCCAAAACACCATCTCCAAAACAAGCAAGTCCTAAGGCCAAAACACCATCTCCAAGACAAGCAAGTCCTAAGGCCAAAACACCATCTCCAAAACAAGCAAGTCCTAAGGCCAAAACACCATCTCCAAGACAAGCAAGTCCTAAGGCCAAAACACCATCTCCAAAACAAGCAAGTCCTAAGGACAAAACACCATCTCCAAAACAAGCAAGTCCTAAGGACAGGACTCCTAAGTCTACACCAAAGGCATCTACTCCAGCAAAGTCAACCAAAATGTCAACACCCAGAACTCCAAAGGCCAACACCCCTAAACCCAAACCTAAAATAGAAACTCCCAAACCATCTGTTTCTCATACAAAAGCAGAGAATCCAGGGCGTTCATCTCCCAAGCGAAATGTAAAACCTCCGGCTGCTTTAGCTGATGAAAGTTTCACTGGACTGCCTAACCTTTTTCAAACACCACCCTCAAACAAAGCCATTCAGAACTTATCATCAACCATTTCTGATAAACGATCTACCCCCAAGAGGCTTTCTACTCCTTTAAGGAAGGATATCGCAGCAGGCAAACAGTTAAAGGCAACCAAAAAAGCTATGGCTACTCCACTCCGTGAATCTATTCAGCAAGGAATTGAATTGAAAGCAACAAAGAAGAAAATGATAACACCCCTAAGAAAAGATATTCAAAAGGTAGGTTCTTTCTGCAAATTTTCTTCTTTTTTTTTTCTGCCAAAATCTTTATTTATTTACAGTACATAGCAAAAGAATCTATGCACTCAATCTTTCAGTTCTAGTCGTTGCCTCTAATTAGCCTGGTACAATGTTGCAATTGACCGCAGATAGAGATAACTTCAGCTATAATCATCACAGAAATCACAGTGTTTCATTTAAGATTCACCCGAAGAATAGATGATGGAAAATTAATCTGCTACGGTTTTTTCTTTCTGGATAGGGTATTGAACTGAAACCATCAAAAAGGACACCAGTTGCAAAAGCTGATAAGACCCCAGTTCTCAAGCCAAAATCCACTCCAGTTTTTGAAAAAACACAATCTGTGACTACTCCAAGTAGAAAAACTCCAAAATCATCACGTTCCAAGACACCAAAATCAACCAAGGCTAAAACATGGGCAGACATTGTAAAGAAAGGTGCTCGAAAACAGAGTAATGTGAAGGTGAGAGCAGAACCATTGAGTATTAAGGCAGGTCGTGTAAGCAAGCCAGTTCATCCAGCCATCACCCGCCTAAGGACTCCAAAGGTAGATTATAACACTGATAATTTCATAATATTGTGACATTTTTTAATGAAGGATTTTGATTTGATTTATTTGCATTTTAAAAACATACACACATAAAACCATTTATGATGTAAAAAGCATTAAAAACATTCAGTTAAAAATTTGTTAAATATGTTACAAATTACCATTCCATATTGCTAATAAAAGATTTAGTCTTGAAATACAGTAAACAGTTAATCATAAAAACATCAAAAATCGAAGAAAAAAAAAAATCATTTTATTTTAATGCTTCATAAACAATAGCAAGCATTAAACAGCAGCAATATAAACAATAAAACCGCAGGAACAACTAAATGAGATGCAAGGATAACCCATGAAATTCCCGATGTGGGACTGTATTTTTTTTTTAAACTTTGTATTAAGTTTTAAGAATTCAACAATACAGTATGTGTATGTCATGTTTTATGTATTTCTATTATAAAAACCTTAATATATTAGTGGTTGTTGAATGGTTAGTATGTGCTTAGTTAAAATTATTTCTTGGAAAACTTTCCTGAATTTTCTAATCATCAATGTACAATACTTTTTGTAGGCGGCAAGAGGTGGTGTTAAGAGCACTGGTCATGTTGAATCACCAGCTACAATTATCATTGGCAAAGCAAGAACCCCATTACCTGTTGTATCAAAAACACGAAAAGGACGCAAAACTCCAAGTAAAAAATTCGCTTCAAAATCAAGTATCAATGATGAAAATTTCACAGGACTTGAAGATCTTTTCCAGACACCATCTCCAAAATCGAAGATGCCTAGACAGTCACCAGAATTAGATACTATATCACCAAAGACACCCAAAACACCTGAAGGTCCTGGGGTTATGTCAGTCTCACCACTCACATCACGTGCTCCAAGCCCAAGGAAAAGTACATCTCCTTACAAAGTTTCTCCTCAATTTAGAAGAGAATCAGATATATTTGTTTCCCCATTAGTATTGACAGGTACCCCATCCAAAACACCAGCAAAGAAATTGACTACAAAAGAGACGCCAAGGAGACAGTCAAATAAATTTGTTCCACCTCTGGCCACAACCAAAACTCCATCCAGGTCTCCTGCCAAAATTGTAAAATCCAAGAAAACTCCAAAAAGGGCGTCAGTCAGCAAGTTTGTGTCTCCACTTAAGACTTCAGCGACCCCCTCAAAATCACCTGCCAAGAGGGTTTTCCAAAAACAAACCCCCAAGCAAAAGACTAAACCAGTAGAAGATACGATTGGAATCAGTAGATTGGTTAAAACACCAAAACAGAAGGCATCACCTGTGGGTAAAGACTTTGGTTTGAAAAGAATTATGAGAACACCAAAGCAAAAAAATCAGGTTGTGGAAGAATTTATTGGAGTTGCAGAGATGTTCCCAAGTCCAAAACCAACACCAGCTGCAAAATCTAAATCTCCAGCAGCAAAAACTACCACAACAAGAGCTGCAACACCTAAAGTAAAACTCTCCTTGAAAAGGAAAGCAGAAGAAAGTGCAAAGAAGCCAGCTAAAAGAGCAAGAGTTGTACCCAAATCAAAGCAGACAGCATCACCTGTTAATAAAGACTTTGGTTTGAAAAGAATAATGAAGACTCCAAAGCAAAAAAGTCAGGCTGTTGAAGACTTTATTGGAGTTGCAGAGATGTTTACTAGTCCAAAACAAACACTAACTCCGAAATCTAAATCTCCAATAGCCAAAGCTACCGCACCAAGAGCTGCAACACCAAAAGCCAAACTGTCTTTAAAACGGAAAGCAGAAGCTAGTACAAAGAAGCCAGCTAAACGAGCAAGAATTGAATCAAAACCCAAACAGACATCACCTGTTGATAAAGACTTTGGTTTAACAAGAATTATGAAGACTCCAAGGCAAAAAAATCAGCAGTCTCTGGAAGACTTTACTGGAGTTGCAGAGATGTTCCCAAGTCCAGAACCAACACTAGATGCAAAATCCAAATCTCCAGCAGCTAAAGCTACTACACCAAGAGCTGCAACACCAAAAGCTGCCACACAAGAAGTTAAACAGAAAGCAGAAGAAAGTGCAAAGAAGCCAGCTAAACGAGGAAGAGTCCAATTTAAACAATCACCAGTTAAGGTTACTTCTCCGGTACCAAGCTCACAAAGATCAAAATCAAGTAGACGTAAGGCAGTTGCTCAAACTAAGAAAACGGAGGTAGTGCTTTCTCCCACTAAAGCTAGATCTACACGTTCTAAAAGGCAAGCTCCATCTAAAGTAGTGCCTCTTCCTGAAGTCGCCCAACAAAAAGCATCCAAGCCAGACAGTTTACCAAAGGCACCAAAGACCCAGGCACCTGCAAAGACACCTAAACCTGTTGAGAATGCTTCTCCAGCAGCAAGCCCTCAAAAGACAAAATCAAGCAGACGCAAAAAAGTTGTTCAAACTAAGACACCAAATGTGGTGCTGTCCCCACCTAAAGCTAGATCTACACGTTCTAAAAAGCAACCTCCATCTAAAGTGGAAACTGTTCCTGAACAGACCCAAGCATCTAATTCAGACAGTGCACCAAAGGCTCCAAAAACACGTGCTCCAGCAAAGACAATTACACCTAAGAAATCAAGAGCAAATAAAACTAAAACAGTTGTTCAAGCTAAAAAAGCAGAAGTGTTGCTTTCCCCACCTAAAGCTAGATCGACACGTTCTAAGAGAGATGCTCCTTCTAACATGGAACTTGTTCCTGATGTGACCCAACAGAAAGCCTCCAAGTCAAAAAATGTACCAAAGACCTCAAAAAAACGAGATCTTTCAAAGACATTGGAACTTGAAGTATCTAAAGAAATATCAAGTCCCCCTAGAGCTAAGAGGTCTAGACGTGGGGCTGAAGTTTCTTTGGTAGAAGTGGCAAGTCCGCCAAAGGTGACACGATCGCAACGGGGTGCAGTAAAGAAATCTTCTGTGAAGAAGAATGTTAATACTCAACCCAAAGCAAGAGCTTCTAGGCGTGGTAACACTTCAGTTGACGAGCCTGTACCAGAACCTACTCCAGTGGTTCCAAAACCTGCAAGTAAAAGTAGAAGAGGAAAGGCAGCCATTGCCAGCCCTGTAAAAAAAACAGAACCTAAGAAAACTGCACGAGGTAAATCTGCAAAGGCACTAGCTATTGAGGTCCTTTCAGATCCAAGTCCACGAAGAACCAGAAATAAGAAAGCTGCCAAATCCACGCCTGCTGCTCCAAAGACATCTAAACCAAGTCCCAAGTCTAAGCGAGCTACACGAACCAAAACAGTAGTAGCAAAAGCATCTCCAGTGAAGAAATTAGAATCTCCAAAACAGAAAAGATCTACTAGATCGCAAAAGAAAGGAAAAAAATAATTCTTCATGAGTTCCCCTGAGTAATATATACTTTCATTACTGTTTGTATAGTTATGTTAGCTAGCCATGCTAACAATTCAAGGAAATAATATAGTAACAGGTATCATGAAATGGTTTTAATTTCTTTAAAATATCCTGTACTGTAGTATAAAAAACGAAATATTTTAAAGATAGCATTTGATAAAACAATTTGTAGTGATCTTGATACACTATATATTTCTGACAGTTTTTACACATTGTATATTTACATATTTCAAAATGTCATTCTAATGAACAAATATTTTGATTGGTAATTCATAAGTGATAGTGTTAATACTTTTTATTTGATTTTGTATTTTGATGTGTAATTTGTTAGTGATAATGGTATAAAATACTGTAATTTTCTTTCCTTTACTTTTGAATATTTGCAGATGCATCTGAAATGTATAAAATTCAAATACTTATTTAATATTTGTGCACATTATTACCTGTGTATTACTTGCTTTAGGTTGCTTCATTTCAGATTTAGAGATCTGGTTTTGTGCATCCCTGAAAATATCAGTTTTTACAGTATTTTATGAGACCTATTTTATCATCAGTTTATTGTACAGTATTAATATTCTGGCTGAGATTTTAGATTTGTTGATTGTGGTTTAATCAAATGTGATTTGTAAGAATTACAGTAATTCTTAAGATATTCATTGAATCAATAATTGAAATTCTATTTTCAAATCGAATATGGATAATTTAATTCTACCTCATTTATTGGGCGGGATTGTATTCAAAGTGTTTCTACTTTCTAACTTAAAATTCAACACATGAATAGCAAACCAAACTACTCTTAGAAGCAGTTATAATACTGTATATATAGTGAAGTTTGAGTAATGCAATGTTGAGTCTGTTTTTATAGTTGTTTAGTGAATATTTTTTTCACCATTTAAGTTTAATAATACAATATTATTACTCAATGTGCTTCAGTATAGCGTTGCATAAAAAATCATCATTTTCGAAATTTTTATCTTGCAAAACTCTTGCTTTCTGTAAATATGTAATATATTTCAGTTGTTGTGTAGGAAATACATTAGATGATATTTCATGAGTTTGTCATCTTTCTTTTGTCAGTTAATTTGCAAAATCAACATAGATACAGATACAAGGTGACATAACCTACTATAAAGTGTAAAATTTACAGTTTCATTAGCACAAAGCTTAGTACTGCATGTAGTCTAGAAATGGTAAATCTTTAAGTAAAGAAAAAAGATTGACCAACTAACATATGTAGGCCTACATATTTACAGTAAATAAACATTTGCTCAACTGTCAATCTTCTCAGTTTGATGTACTCTTGGCAAACCGAATAAATGATCCCCCCCCCCCCCTAACTTTGGAAAATGGGTACCAGCGCTGTAAGGCAGCACATCTTATGTGGGTTGCGACCCATGAATGGCCAAGCGCTGTAAGGTAGCACATCTTATGTGGGTTGCGACCCATGAATGGCCACATTTCAGGGGTTGCAGAAGTGATGTAGCACGTTTTTGCCCATAAAAAAATAGCAGTGAAGGCGATGACATTGATAAAAACAAGTCAGTGATGTATTTTTGAAACATAATTGATTTAACATGAATATTTCGTCCACCCCTGTGGGCTTCATCCACGTAAGTGATATTACAAGAGAGATACTTAACTACAGTACTGTACGATTTGCTGAAATTCAGTTTACCTATCAATAACCATAGACAGTACCAAAGCCAGACTCCGTGGGAGGGGCGGGGATTTGATATGTTGTACAACTGATTTTTCTAAAACAAAAAGCATATTTGACACAAAAAAAACAACATTGAAGCGGTTAATGAGAGACACTATTGTACAGATTTTTGAATATCTAAAAACTCATGGAAAGAAGCATAACCACCCTTTTAACGTTACAGTATTTTGATTTCCAACATGATCTAAATGAACAAATAATTTGGGCCATGCAGCATCACAGAAAAAAAACTCTCCCTGCGAACCCATCCAGTAATTTTTATATGGCTCCGATAAATTGTAGATTATTATTTATTATATCCTATGTTAGATCTACATATAACTGTATTAACTGAACTTTATATATTTATTCTAATATGCTTATGATAGTTTACCCTACTTGATTTATATTTTTCTAAAGCCAAATAATTAACTTGATTTACAGAATAAGACAAAAACAATAAACTGCAGTAAACCGCCTTTATTATAAGATTGCTTCTAAATTTATATTGCTTCTATATATTGACTATCCGCTGTGCGTCACCACCACTTCGAGATGATGGTAGAGAGATACTCAATCGTGAATTTGATGCTTTTAATGGACTTCGGTAAAAGGCATTTCGGCAATCTGGCCGAGATCGACACCCTACGAGTTTCGCCGTGCCAATTTCGTCACGTTTAGATAGAATGCAGGGGCGGATTTAGGGAGGGGCCCTCCCCCTTTTGGGAGGTAAAAAAAGAAAAAAAAGAGAGAAAAAGAAAAAAATGATGGCCAAGAATGCCTCAAATGTTATGTTCGGGCGTCTAGAACACAAAAATTTCGCGGGGGCATGCCTCCAGACCCTCTACGACAGTGTTGTCTCAACCGGCCCCCCCCCCTTTTGGACATTTCTGGATCCGCCCCTGGAATGGAGGTTTTACTTGGAGAATACCAGGTACCACAATATTAATTTATCGCCCAAGTGTTTCTCACCAAAGTGCATTACAAAAAAAAATTGCATAGCGCCCTCTTCCATTTATCTTTCGATTTGATACTCTTGTCTTAATACGCTTGCTCCTTTAAAATAACATTTTCCGTGTGCCGAACACTGGTTTCCCATTATCCGTCAAAACGAAATATTTGCATATTTTTCTATGGTGTTACTTCTTTAGGCTGTATGACTTGTAGGCTAATATTTCATCACACCGTTTCTGTACAACGAGAAATTAATTCACAATATGACCGCCGGGGGTTTGTGCAGTGTTCTCACCCGCACAAAGCATCTTCCTGACACGATACGGTACCATTTGGCGTTTATTTATCTTTAATTTGCCATTTTAAACTCGTCATTGACGTCGTCACAACTGCTCGCATTAGTCCATCACCAAGTAAACCTCATCTTAGAACAATAGGAAATGTAAGTTCTACAGCAATACTTGTTGGTTGACCATTTCGGTCATCGCTAGGATTTGGTTTAATTCACGAACCCCTGTCCATCATTCTTTCCATATGCCAATGATTTCGCTCAAAATTATGGACAAAATCTGTAGCATAACACTAATATTATACAGTTAAAATAATATAATACGTCGATAGAATTTAATTGAGTTTTATATTATTATTATTATTATTATTATTATTATTATTATTATTATTATTATTATTATTACGTATTATTATCATCATTATTATTGTTATTTTCATTACTAGTATTATTATTGTTATTATCTTTCAAATGTTATAATTTCATCAATATCTGTGGGTTTTGATTGTGTTGTTACTTTACTATTAGCAAGCGCTATTTCGTCCCTTCTGGGCTATGGCAGTTGGTCTTTTCTTTTATTTTTCGTCCTTTTTCCAAGTTGTTTTTTTCATGTAATGTTTTGTATGCCCGAACTATTATAACAAAAATAAATAAAAATAAAAATAAATTTTATTATTATTTAGAATTTTTATTATTATTTAGATTTATTATCATTATTATTATTATTTCTCGGCATGTGTTTATATAATTTCACAACCATCATTGTTATCAATATACAGTATATTGTCATTCACGATATTTACAGGCATAGTAGGCCTAGTGATGGGGAAGGAAAGACAATAATGAGGCCAAAAAAAATGTTTGTTTGCCCTCCTCCACCCGCCCCTAATTCACTGGAAAAAATAGGGGCGGAAAATCAAAAAAAAAAATTTTAAAAACGGTGGTTTTTTTCAGCTTTTTTCTTTAAAAATTAAAAAAAATGTGCGTGAATTTATCTTTATTTTTACCAGATGCCCTACAAATTAGAAAGTTGTTGTCTGATGTAGGATATTGCTATTCTAGGCCTCTGTGGGTTATTTTTATTCCATTTGATGAGTATTTTTTTTAAATAAATAAATTTTAAAAAACAAACTATTTCCACCCGAACCTATTTATCATTTGAAAAAAAGAAGAGTAAAAAAACAATTCATTTTATTTGGCCTAATAGTAGTCCTACTATTCAGAACACGAGGGCCTATCGTATATTTAATTGCCGATTTACACGTTTTGATGTTTATTTCTTTTGTTTTATTCCGCAACATTTACTATAGATTAACAATTATTGGAACCCTAATATGAAAATCCTATGCATTAATTGTCTCGCCATGTAGCGCAGACTAAAATCTTCCTTGTGTCTTCGCTATACACTTCCTAAGCCCAGTTCTATTCTTATCTTTGGGAATGGGAAAAGTAACGAAAGGTAGCACCACACAAAACGAAACTGGCATAGGTCTACAAAATGTTTAAATAAATAATATATTTGATATGAATTTGAAGGGTCGTCATTTCGCTTTTAAAATTGTTTATGTTGCCCTAACAATAAATACAACAAACAAAATACGGTACAAAGAGAATAAAATTCAACATTTCATAGTGGACCTTTCCGGAAATCTCAAACAATTGACCAATCAGAACGTGTTATTCAATAGCCAGGATTAAGATAAGAAAAGTTTATTGATCCACAAAAGGAAATTAATTTGCTCACCATATAACGCGCAGGTCCCTCAAAATCGCACGTTTTGCGTGTAGATTACGTACCTATACGCTGTCTTCTTATGGGACCTTAGCAACAATGTTAAGTTATAGGCCACCTATTAACTTTTAGTTGCAGATTAATCTCGAAGAAATATTTTCTCGTCAATTTATGAAGACTAGCCACTGTCGTTCCTAAATATCTTGCACGGATTTAACTAAAAAGTAGTTCCGACAAAATGTCAATCTTTTAAATAGCTATTTAGGCCTAATTTAACATCCAGTCAGCCTAAAATCGAAATACCGCCTTTAATGGGTTTCGCTGATGTACGGACTTGTGTAGGCCTATTACATAATGTTGAAATAGTGTATGAGTCAATTACTAGCTTATGCAAAAATGTTACTAGTTAGGCGGAATTAATAAATATTCGTTTGTTATTAAATTAGTGTTCATATTTTTTAATTGAAATTTTTCTATTTACAAGGTATACTAAGCGATTAAAATATGTTAATTTTATTGTTAATATTTTTTTCAAGTCCCATCTGACTGCTCAGCAACAACTTTTTTACAGACTTATTCGATGTTTCCACTAAATATAATGATATTTTGTTTGTTGTCAGTTAATAACATCGTTTTGATATAATACGCGACTCCTTATCACGCACATTTCGAACGACCTACTAAGAGGCTGTATAGGCTTACATGTTGTAGTACACCATTACTGACCGCAGAGGAAACTGTGGCCGGTTACATCGTCTGCCCCATATAGCTAGGCTAAGTTGATACGCCTTGTTACCTACTGAGTGAGTCAGATATTTCCAGGGCACTTTGCCTTCTAAATATTTTTTGTCTTTTGCTTTCCCGGAGCGTATTTTGCTGTCTAGCCATTGAGCCTTTATTAGGTGCTTTTAAGTTTTATCCACTTTTCATATAATTTTTAGGTGTCGAAAATTCAACTAGGAAGATGCTCAACCCAGCAATTTCGTCATCAAGAACCAGTCCTGAAACGCCACGGTGAGTGACAATTGGCCTACTGTATACACAAGAGCATAATAATGGGTATAGGAAACCCCAGACAATTAAAGTACGCGGCCGGGTGCTGCCGCTGCAAACAATTATAAGTATTGAACGATGCTGATGTAAAAAGGCATTTCATTAGCCACTTAGCTTTAACTGATAACAAAAGTAATCAGTTTCACGTATGCATGCGTGTAAATGTGTACGTGCTTGTTGGTTGAGTGCACGCGTACTTTGATGAGTTGCGGTGTGTGGGTGCGCTATTGCAGCTCAGATTTTCCTATCCTGTCTTGTGCCCTCTTGCCAGCATACGTACGACTTCGATACTTCATCGACAGATGGCGCTTTACTACACCAACA